TCCCTCTGTGGGGGGAAACTCCCACTAGGTTTATATCTGGGACTCTCCACCATTTGACCTTAGAACTGAAGAAGCTTCTCTGGTGAGAGGTGAAACGTCTTCAAGCAACTTAAAGAAGTCCAGACGCTTTTCTTTCCAAGCTCCTTTGACTCTTTTTCTCTCCTTTTAATCACCACCTAAAACATCTCACCAACTACAGTTTGTTGTGATTATTGAGACACTGGGTGTGCAAACTATGAATAAAAAACATTTTAATGTGTGGCCGAATACAGAGTACGTTTGGCAGTTCAGGGTGGGTGGGTGCTCTGATGAGACACCGACAGAGAATATGGAGTGTCAGGCATCGAGACTGGCAAACCCTCGGCCACTCGTTAGGTAAGAAGCTTTTAATTTAATGAATTTTTACATCTACACTTTCATGTATAACCAGGACAGTTGTAATCACCTTTATATACAGAGAGAACACCTATGACCACCTGTGGTGATTAATAACACATTTGGTCTCTTAAGTTTACGAAGCTGAAGAAATGCAGTAATACAACCCACGATTGGTTTGTTTTACTTCAGGCTCCTTAAATTCTGCTGCTTCATGTGGATGGGTGGAGCAGCGCAGGACTGCTGAATTATTCCTGGAGGAGGAGAAGTTTGAGCATGTAGTGTTTCAGCTGTGTGCTGACAACAGCAAGGTAAACATTACATTCATTCCCTCTGTCTCAGCTTTCAAAGGAAATCTGTTTTCTGGACACTTTCTACTGAGTACATCAGTATCTACTCTGAACATGAATAATTTCGTCTTTTATGTCTTTTTTTCTTTTTAAAAAAATTATGAATAACAAATCATTGATCACAAAAATGTATATGTGTATCGCAGAGGTGGAAAGTAACGAATTACATTTACTTGCGTTACTGTAATTGAGTAGTTTTTTTTGTGTATTTGTACTTTTTAAAGTCATTTTTCAAATCTGTAATTTTACTTTTACTTAAGTATATTTTTAAAAAGTATTGTAGTTCGCTACGTTTTCAATCATACCCGTTACTGAGTAAATTAAAAATAAAAAAAAACATTGCGCTTTGGAAATACTGCAGGGAACAATGGGTAGTAGAACAAATTGGCGCTAAGGTCACGTTAAAGATGGAGTCTGACATCGGTGTTACGGAGCTTTATTATGCAGTGTAAGCTGTGTTTGCCCAGAGAGACCGAGTTAGCAGCTTTTAAAAATTCCACATTAACCTGCGCAAGCATGTAGAGGTAAGTTAAATACAACTCGTACCCTTATGGTAGCAAAAAGGCTGTGTTCAAATTAATCACATTAAGTTAAGACATCTGTGAAGAACACAGATAACGTTGGTTGGTACTAGCAACTTGCTGTAATCGGGCACGTTGTTGTCCACGCAACTTACATTTTTTTTTACTGGGTTGGTAAATTGCCAAAAGAAAATGTGTTTACCTACGTTTTTCCTGTTTGTTAATAATAATTTATTTTAAAAAATAGTTAAATTAAAGACAGAAGCGGCTACTTTCTTACTTAACCCACATATGTTCACACTGCAGGCAAAGGAATAACAGAGCGCTCACTTACCTTAGATTAGTCAAAGACAGCTGACTTCTGTTACTTGTTAATTAGCACTTGCAACCTCCCGTTAACTAGCCTGTTACTATCCAATAAAAAAACCACGAGGTATAATGGTGTAATTTACCAGCGGTAGCTATGTAATGCATTGATGTCTTATTAGGGACGTCAAAAAACTTTCTCTCAAACTTAACACTGGCTTGCCTGCCTCAGCTGCCTTCGAGCGTCTCTTTAGCTGTGCTGGACTACTGTTCACTGCAAAGTGAGCAAGGATGAACTCTACTAACTTTGAAAATCAACTCCTCCTCAAAATTAACAGGAAGTTCAGAGAGTAACACTCTAGGATGGATACAGGAACTTTAATCTAGAGGTACAGTAGGGCAGGGCCATGTTTAAAAAATTAAAAAAACATTTTTAAAGCAGCTGCCATTCAGTTCAGGACTTGTTCTCTTATTTGACAGTTTAGAACACATTCTCATGTGAAATAATGATATGGTTTTGTATTGAAAACACTGTAATACCTGACAGTTTGGTTGATTGGTTTGGTGACCATTATCCATTTTCATGTATAGACTTGCAGTTTAACTGCCACTGCACTTTAATTTGTAAAGTTTTTCTTTTCACTAAAAAAGAACTACTTTGAGATTTATATCCCACTGTCTTTTTTTGCACTACTCAGAAGCGGCTGTCCTCCTGCTGACAGAAACGTAACTATGTAACTTTTACTCTGAGTACATTTTAAATGAGCTACTTTTTACTTTGACTTGAGTACACTTTTAGACAGGTAATTTTACTTGTACTTGAGTAAAATTTCAGCAAAGTAATAGTACTTTTACTTGAGTAAAATATATTAGTACTCTTTCCACCTCTGGTGTATCGACAAACATTAAATTATGTGTTTGATAAGCTTGAATCTCTGTTTAGTACCTGGAGTCAAGACATGATGAGTTTTGCTTGGTATTTACATATTTATCTCCCATCACCACTAAACAATAAATCCTTTTTAAAGTGTAGTATTTTCTTTGATACTGCCTAAATCAATAAATGGTGACACTGGATGCTTTGCAGCCTCCCAGTTAAGTAACAAATGCTAATAAATGATCAGGGTGCCCAACCTGTAATGTTTAGCTTCTGTCCCCTCCTCATTAGCTTTCATAAAGGAGATCATGCACTAAAGGAGTCATTTACATCTTTTTCACTTTCCATGTTCTCTACATCAAACATGGTGATGAGTTTCTACTTGCAAAGGTCATTAGCAAGAGGAAACTACTCTGGTATGATGATAACTCACTGGACCTTGTCTGCTTGCTAACCTAGGGACGGGTTTCTTGGGGGGCTCAACCCAGGGGCTGTGGTCGTGACCTGGATGGGGCTCTGGTGGCTCTTGGGTGGTGTTTTACTTCCGGCTGCCTGCAGCAGGGCTGGGGGGAGGGTCTGTGATGGCGGACTTGGGTTGCCGGCCTGGTAGCCTAGCTGCCCCTGGGTGGGTCCGGGGTCGACTTGGGGACTTCCAGGCTAGGCCTCTGGCTGGGGCTTGGGGGGGCATGGGGGCATGCACGGGGGCCCAGCCCTGGTGCGGAGTGCACTAGGGCACTCAGCTGGAACTTCAGCTGACGGACATGTTGTTTGCAGGAGGTCTCTGCTCTGTCTGGTCTCTGCAGTGTCTTCTCTTCTTATTTCTCCTTCCCATCCTCAAGTCCTGTCTGGTCTGATTGTAATAACTTAAAATAAAAATAAATAATAAAGATCGAATAAACTATGACAATCCAGTAGACCAGTAGAGTAGAAGGTCCACTTGGGAAAGTAAATCTGTTGGGCATTTCTCTTGGCCTTCAGACAGTAATTCTGATTGTTACAGTGCTGGAAAAATACATAAATGTCAGTCTCTGTTATTAACACACATTTGTCCAACACTGCACGCTTTGAGACCAGCTGTCAGAGACCCTATGTAGAAGAAACAATAAATGGTTTCACAATATGAAATAGATATGTTGTCCTTCTATGATTTTATCAAAATGTACTGAATGTGCCTCTATTGGGGCAAATATGCCTGTTTGTAAGTAAAATGTACCACGATTTCTCCAACCCTGCAGGCTCTGAGTCAGGCCAAGAAAAGGATTAATGACCTGATTGTTGCTGAGCAGGCACAGAAAACCATCTCTGACCCGTTCATTAGTCAGCTGTCACAGGCTGACATGGAGGAGCTGAAGGCTCTGCAGAGGAAACTGACGGTCAGCATCCGTCTGGACAAAGGAGCAGAGGACCAGGACCCGGAGATCCACCTGGAGGGTCTGACCAGAGACGTGTTCACTGCTGAGTGTGCAGTCAGGTCAGCAAACAGAGACGTAAATGTTTTTCAAGAATGTTCAGTGCAAGGTCCTAACTGCTTTTTCTATTTGATGACCATCAGGGACATCATCCGAAAGGTGGAGAGGGCGGAGAACTCAAAGAGACAGGCCTTGTTAGTGAGTAGCCTGGTAGAGTGGCAGTATCCAGACCGCAGTGGCTCAATGGTGGCCTTTGATATTTACACCAACCTCAGACTGGAGGAGGCGCTAGAGAAGAAAAATAAGGTGAAGATCAAGATCAATGATGAAACGTACACCGCTGATCCAGGACTTAGAAAAGCAGTTTCAGCAAAGAGGTGTGATGTAGAGCTTCTTCGGAAAGACCTTAAAGGTGAGTCACTTATGTGCACTTAGAACTCACCACTTAGTCTTTTATTGAGGTTTTACCTCAGAAAAATGCAACAGGTTAAATGAGCACTGACTTTTTCCCTTTTTTATAAATATTAGAATGCAAAAAAAAAAAAAAACCTTGAAAAACTAATAAAAAAAGGTCACTTATAAATATCCCAACAACAAGTAATCCCAGTCCTAAACTAACATATTTGACATTTTTCACTGAAGCTCTAGGCACAGCCTATGCACACGTACACGGTTGGTGTAGCACAACATTATTTAAACTGAGCTCTTCTAATGATTTTCACAGATGACAGCGCTCTGCCTTCTTGTTGGGAGGACATGAAAGGAGACGTTGTGAAGTTGTTTGCTCTGACTCCAGGAGCTCAGGAATACAACGACGTGGAGCAGGAACTGACAAAGACCGGACTTTATCTTAACATCATCAGTGTATGTTCAGTCACAAATACACAGAGAAGACTGTATGATTTACATTTTTTTAAAATGACTCAATGATTTAAAATTTTACAAAACTTTCTTTAAAATGAAATTTAAAATTCAACTGAAATTCAACTCTAATTTGAGGTGTTTGTAAAGTTCTATTCTGAAACTGATACGTTATGAGATGGTGGTGTACTAAATTATCAGCTAATGTTAAATAGTGATAAGTTAGATCGAAATAAAATTCTAGAATTTAAATCACTAAAATCAGAGCACAGACATGTCTGAAGGTCTGTTAGTCCAGTTAGCATGATTTTAAAAAGTCATGAGAGAAAAAGAACAGAGGCAGGAAGGAGAATTATTGCACTTCTGAGAGAAATAACAACATGATGTGTTTGGATTACGTCGGCAGATCGAACGAGTCCAAAATCTGTCACTGTGGCAGAGCTACCAGATCATGAAGAAACAAATGGAGGTGAAGAATAAACACACAAACAATGAACTGCTTCTGTTTCACGGCACCACTGACACCTCCATCCATCTGATCAACAGCAAAGGCTTCAACCGCAGCTACGCAGAAAAACATGGTAAAGCCAGAGCCTCACATTACACCTGTCCAGTAAGATCATTTATAAAACGTCCACTAATGATACAGCAAATAGCTACAGTATACAGTTGGGTCCACAAGTATTTATGGGACAAATCATTTGGTAATTTTGCCTCTGTACACCACCACCATGGATTTTAAATCAAACGATCGTGAAGTGATTGAAATGCAGAATTTGAGCTTCAATTTGAGGGGTTTGACAAAGTTCCAGGATAAACTATTTAATAATAAGTCATTTTCATAAGCTGCACACTACGATACAAAAAATGGCTGGAAGTCCACAGCTGCCTGTGATCTAGTCTGCAGTTACTTTTTAGCTTTTACTTATCTCTAAATGTTGTTTCTTTATCCCTCCTGTGACCCTCTGTCTGTGACTTCCTCTGGTTTCTGTGTGTTACTTCCTGTTTTGTTTTGAAATGACCATTTCTCGTCTTTAGGAAATGTTACTTCCTGTCTTTATCTCCCTACCTCTGCTATGCTATCTGGTTGAGTATTGTCACCTGTGTAGAGCTTTGCTCAGTCTCTTTTTTTTTTTTCCTGCAGGTGCGATGTACGGCAATGGTTCTTATTTTGCTGTGAACCCCCACTATGCAACACGTCAATATGCCAGACCTGACACCAGGGGGCACAAACACATGTACCAGGCCAGAGTTCTAGTTGGAGACTACGCCCAAGGACGAAAAGGCATGATCACCCCTCCTCCCAAATCTGGGAGTGCCTCAGACCTGTATGACAGCGTCACAGATGACGCTACTTATCCAACCATGTTTGTGGTCTTCAATGATATCCAGGCCTACCCAGAATACCTCATCACATTTACATAAAGAGCCATGCTCCTGCTGTCCAACACATCTGAGACAGATGTGCCACAGATGTGTCATGTTTGTTCTGGTTTCAAAGTAGTGTGTGTCATTTAATTTAAGCTTTAAAACAGGAAACTGAAAGAATTATCTTTGGTTTGTTTTAAAGTGCCATGTCCTTGTGGTTTAATAACTTTCATGAACACAAAAAACACAGACCACAATACTGATATTTACGTTTTATAAAATCTTATTTTTTGCTGATATATTTTTCAGTTAAAGTTTAATTTTTTATAACCACTGTAACTGAGAAATGTATTGATAAAGACATTTTACAGCTAAAAAAGTACATTTGATTAAAAATACATCTTTGAGATTTTTTAAGCTGCAGTTTATCAACTGACATGTCCGCTGGTATCCATATAGTTGCAATCAGCTAATGTAAATGGATTTTTGTGGTCAGCTAATCATTTAGAGTTAAATTATTGCTGAAGTCTGGGTTCATTGGAAAAAAAATTAAATAAAAACAAACTTTATAATACGATGATGTCATGTTAGGAAAAGGAAGCTGAGATGGTGCTGATGACACAAGCCTGTATTGTTTATTAATGGCCAGCAGGGGGTGCCGCTCTTTGCAAACATATCCATCCATCTATTTTCTGCCTCTTTCTTTTTTTTCTTTGCCTGTCCCATTTGGTTCTTTAGCCGTCAGAATTGTTGTCTGAAGGCCAACAAGGAGACCCAATGGATTTACTTTGCCAAATGGATCATCGTGGCCTTGCCGTATTGGTCCATTTGATCAACCTTTGTTGTTATTATTTATTTTATTTTATTTTCAGTTGTTACAGACGGGACAGACATGAGTGAGGGATAGGAAAGGGAGAGAGAAAGAGGAAGGAAAAGAAAAACAGAAGAGGAGAGGGACAGTGAGAAAGGGGGGGAGAAAAAAAATCTCCTGGATCACCTGTTGAGAGAAGAATAGAAAACAAGCAAAAAAACCAAAGCAACATAATAAACACAACACCATCGCATTAATCTAGCAGTAAATACTAAATATTGAATGTTGTTGTGCAGCACGAAGGACCGACAGTGCACAATGTACTTTGAAGTAGCAGCCAAGAAAGGTGTAATTTAAGTCTACGAGCAGTGAACACCCGTGTGGATCAGCGCGCTTGTATTCAAAGGTTTCCCCATGTAATGGTCTGCAAGAGGGTGTAGAGCAGCGGTCCCCAAACTTTTTTGGGCCACGGACCGGTTTATGCCCGACAATATTTTCATGGACTGGCCTTTAAGGTGTCGCGGATAAATACAACAAAATAAAACTAGTACCGGTACCGAAAAAAAGATTTATTCGTAACACAGGTGAAAAGACCCAGGAAAACTGAGTTAACAATAAAAACGATAACAAAATAACGCTGAAAACCGATAAAACCCTGAAAACCACACATTTCACACCTGAGTCTCAACTCTCGCGGCCCGGTACCAAACGACTCACGGACCGGTACCGGTCCCAGGCCTGGGGGTTGGGGACCGCAGGTGTAGGGGGCCATAGCCCCGTCTCCCAGGGCATGAAGCAGGCATGGAGGAGATCCAGGCCCCAGACATCCAGAGGCCTCAGAGTGCGAGAGCCCAAGGAGGACCA